GATGGGGTGTGGCAGAGAGCCTGCGGGGCACAGTGATATTCAAGTCCTGAGCGTGAGAGGTAAGTTCAATTGAGAGGTGAGGCCCATCTCTGCAAAGTGGAAAATCAGGTCGATGTCACGTCCCAGGCGATCACTCACAGCTGCCTGTCCTTTATCTTCCTGATTTAAGTGCTGGGCCCAAGTCCGCAGCTCTTCATTTTCCAAAATTGGTAAACTCCTGTTCCCCTGCTGGGATGGTGGTGGTGGGGTGCGGGGGTGACCTCCAGCTGAACGTTGTGGTTGCAGTCGTCTGCTCACGCAGGTGGGAGGGGATCTGCAGGTGGGATGGGGCAGTCCTGCGGGGAAGGCCCTCACTGGTAGGTGGTGACGACCCTGGGGAGAAGATAAGGTGACACTGGCCACCACCAATGGCCACTTCCGGCTTTCCATCCCTGCCCTCTCTGAGCTGGGCGCAGGCCCCAGGAGGAAGTCCTTGTCAGTGAGTGAGAGGGTGCCGCGCCCACCTGAGGGGGTCCAGATGAGCCGCGCCCTCATTTCTTCCTGAGTGAATGGCCACATTTGCTGACAGGACTCTGCCAGGGAAGTGGGTGACTACTGTGCTCCCGTGCGTGACTTTGTGCCTGTGCCAAAGCCACCGATGGCTCTCCTTGGCAACCAGCTTCATAGGAAAGAACCCTAAGAGGGTGGATGAGTGTCTTGGGTGTGCATGGCCCATGCACGAAGAGAGGGAAGCTGCTTCTCTCTGCAGCCCAGAGCACTGAGGCAGGGTTTGGTGCCTTCACACGCCCCCACCTCCTTGGCAACTGCCCACTTTTGGGCTGCATCAGCCAGTCCTGCACATCTCGCTGCTGTGGCTCAGACTAGAATCAAAGCTTCCAGGAGGTTAACAAAAGAGATTGCAGTGCTGTTCCCATCCTAGGGACCTGCCAAATGGTATTTTGCTGCACAGAGAAGTCCAGTCCTGGTGGATACATTCCCTCCCCTTCTTCCAGGTTTCAAAGGAGTGGAGGAAAACACTTGTTAGTTTATTTGCTTGCAACATTTTCAGTACCTTCTATTTGCAAGACTTTGGGCTCGGCTTAGCAGAACCGTCCAACACTTTTCAATCTAGCAGAAGGAATAAGATGTGAACACAGTGTCCTCACATGCATGGGACATGAGGAGCCCGTGAGAGACGCCGGGTGCTTGCTCACATCTCAGGACTGACAGATGGCTTCACAGGAGACCTGTCGGCACTGGGTCTTGGAGTGTGAATAGGGTCCCAAAGTTGGGATGTGGCAGTGCATCCCAGGGAGAGACCACAGTGGGGACAAAGGCAGAGGTGACAAAGTGAAGGCTTGTTCAGGGAATGACAAGGGCCTGTTTTATCAGAAGAGATGTGTTTGGGGAAGAGGCCGGGAAACAGTACTGAGAGATTGAGACTGGAAAAGCGGGCCAGTGTGGGCCGTGGGGTGTGCTCAGAGCTGCCTTACCGAGCGGAGCATGGCTTCTGCTGGGAGGCATGGGAACCTGGGAGGGGCTGAGCTGGAGGGCAACTCTCACACCCTCACACCAGGCTCCCTTGAGGGAAATTGTCCTGGCCTTGGGAGTCATGGTTCTTTAGGGGGGTAGAGGGAGAAAACAAGGGGGTAAGGCAGAGGGCAAAGATCTGCAGGAAGGGGTGGCAGTAGAGACTGGAAGGAGGGTTTGCATAGGGGAAGCAGTGGCCGCATCACCATCCTGGAGGGGGCTGTCCCTTGGAAAGTGCTGAGATCCCACTCAGGGTGGAAAGTGTGTTGAGAGTTATGGACGGAGGGTTTGTCCACCAGAGAAGAGGTGCCCACTGGCTCCCATGGGCTCCCAGATGTGGGGTTGGAGAAGGGGCCATGCTCAGCTGCTTTCTGAAATGGAGGGCATGAGCCAGCAGCCACGACAGGGCAGGCTGGGGAACGGGGCAGGCAGCCTCCCTCGCCCTGCGTAGAGGTCCCCCGAGGTCAGCACCACACCCTGCACCACATCTCAGCGCACCGGAGGCTGGATTCAACGTGGCTGCCAGTTGCCAAGAAATGAAAGGCCCCTGTGTATCTTCCGTGTTGATTCTGAAAACAAAGCTAGAGTTCGTCCTGCAAAACGAAGCCTTTTGTTTCTCTCTTTCAATGTGTTGTGAAGTAGAGGCGGGTGGGGGACTTCAGAAGCCTGAAGTGGCAGACAGTTCTGCAAAATGAGCTGTGAGAACCTGCCTTGACAAGTGTAGCGTCATTCATCCAGAGTCTTTGTCACACACTAAGGTCCGGTGAAGGGAAACTTGACTGTACTCAGACAGGTAGAACCCGGGCAGCCCAGTAAAGAACACTTAAGAGCAGTTGAAACAGGGAAGGCTGAATCCAGAAAATGCCTCTGTCTGGAGTCTTTTGGGGAGGACGGTGCCCAGGGCGCTGGGGTCTGCCAGCGCTGGCTCTGCCCGCTGTCTTATTCTCATTAGGCAGGCAGCGCCCTGAGTCAGCAGCGAAGCAGAGAGGAGATACCACAAATGCTTTCATTTTGAGTTTTTTCCTATTTAAAAGTCGAGGAGGAAGGAGGGAGAGGGGCATGAGACATCAGCTTGTCGTGGGGCTTCTCCCCAACCCATCAGTAAATGAGGTCACCAGGGAAGGTGGCTGCGCACAGCTGGTGGACAAGAGCTACTGGCCACGAAACTCCCTTCCTGTCCCCATCTGGGATGTGGTGGGACCAGAGTAGGGTGAGGTGAGAGATAATCCCGCTGTTGGCGCAAGAGCATCCATCACACTAACATCTAAGGTGAGGGGACAAGAGCCAAGAAATGGGTGCCTCTGTTTGGCTGTTTGGCCTCATTCTCAAGGCTGGCTTTTGCTGTCTGTGGTGTCACTCATATGTGGGAGCTAAAAATGTCAAGCTCATAGAAGTAAAGAGTATCATGTTGGTTACTAGAGCCTGGAAAGGGGGCCCGGGAGTGTGAGAGGTTGGTTAAGGGGTACAAACTTACAGCTAGACAGGAAGAATAAATTCTAGTGTTTTATAGCACTATAAGGTGACTATAATTAAGAAAAACATGTATATTTTTAAATAGCTAGAAGAGAAGATTTTGAATGTTCCCAACACAAAGAAATGATAAATGTTTGAGGTGATGGATGTGCTCATTAACCTGATTTGATCATTACACATTGTATATATACACACAATATCTATATATATATGTGTGTAATAAAAAACAATACTGTCACACCAAATCAAGTCATAATAAAAGTCCAAAACATCGCTGATGACAGGGTTGCAGGGAGGGGCTTTGTCTCCAGGGTCTTTCATGGGCTGGTGTGCTCTGAACAGGTGAGGGCAAACACGTGTATGAACTCAACAGAGTTCGGACTCTTACTTCGTTCTACAAGTTTCTGTTGAGTCTGCTTATGGGAAAGTTAACTCAAAAACAATTGACGATTTTTATGTAATTAATATATAATTAATTAAACTGTGAAATTTAAAAAATTTAGGTAATTAATATAGTATTAATACTTATGTAATTAATATTGGCTTCAGCCAGCTGAGGACTGGATGGGCATTATATATTGGCAGGAGCATGTAACGCCAGCAACACCCGTCCCTCTATTGATCCTGAGCACGTTTTTACTTGATAAGAGCAAAAATTTAGACTTGGAAGAAACAGTGAGCACAAGATACAACCAATAACAGTTAAGACTGCATAGAGTAATTTAGTCATAGATGAAAACGGTCTAAAGATTTGTACTTTATAGGTAATATAGAAAACTATAAGAAACACCTAAAAAATGAAAATTATCCAGACAATGCTTTCTTGATGAAATTCATCATTGCTGATATAATTCTCTTTAAATATCTGTATTTTTAAACATGACATCCAGACATCCTTGGGGTCAAAACAGTGGACTCGGGCTTGTCCTAAGGCTGGGCTTAGGTCTGCTCACCCTGTGGGGTCTGTGGGGGTGGGGATGGAACCGGGGGGTGGCATGGCTTTGGGGCTGGATGGGCAGGCCTGTGGTGCTCATGTGGGGGGGGACCTGAGCTCTGCTCAAAGGCGGGGGGCAGGTCTGTTCCCAGCAGGCAGCAGTGAGGGGTTACGGCAGGTAATGAATGAGTGAACGCAGCTTTGAGCGTAGTCAAAAAGGCTAATCTAGACAGAATGACTTAGTAAAAGCCTTAATAGCTGTCAAATAAGTGGATTTCAATCTGAGGGGGCAGGGAATCACGAGAGCATTTTCAAAAGTGAAACGTTGTAGTCAAAATAGCATGCAGGGAAGGCAGTCTGTGGCTTGGTGCTTATATGGACCAAAAATAAAAACTGGTGCTCACGTGGGTGGTGAGAGCTTTGATGGGCGCTTGTCCACAGATCTAGAGAGGGGAGTGAAGTCGTGTAAACGATCTAGTTTAACATTCCTAGAGCTTCCACGGCCAATTTAAACGGACTGTTAAAACATGTTTTTAATAAACCTTCTTGAGTTTCTCTCCACCATTGTTGGAGAAGGTTGGCTGGGGAAAGAGATGCCTTGATATGTTTTGGGGAGCTTGTGGTGTTTGCTTGAATCAACACTTGGGGCCATATCATGTTCCCACCAAGAGAAGAGTTAAAGCCGTGGAAGTCATGATGCAAGACTGAGACACAGCATTTAGCACTGCCAGACTTACAAAGGCAGGTGGAGTCCTCTAGATGGAGGTCACAGAAACAGGGATACAATGTGGTCTTTGGGGGACAGGATGGCCCACATGCTGGCTGAACCCAGGACCTCCCTGCAGTTTATCATGGAGCTTTGCAATGGCAATGGCTTTGTGTTCTGATGTAATGATCCAGCTGACCGGGTGGAGAAGTGACTGTGTGCAGGCCCTGATCCACACAGGGGACAGGTGGGGAGCTCTGCTATGTCACCAAGGAAGGATTAGCAGCATGGCATTTATATCTGTTATAACCACAATGTTCTCCTCCATATCAGAAATGCTCAGAGTCTGAAGCACCATTTCCATGTCTTCTCTTCCAGTCACGTTAGAGCAGTTCTCCCTGGCCGTGAAGACATGTCCTGACCATGAGGACCAGGCTTTGTTAATGAAGGTAGGTTATCAGATAAAGTACTTATTTCTTTAAAGGCTTGTGGCATTTTTATTGCCATGAGGAGAGTTTCATTTTTACAAGCAGTAGTAAATTTATCATCTCTGAATTTTGTGCTCCGCAGGGATAAACTTGTCACCGGCGGGTAGGAGGGTTGCTGGTTAATGAGCACAACCGCCGTCCGTGGAGTATAGAAGTGACAGGAAAGTGGGTGTCAACTACTAGTGGGGAATCTATTTAATTCTCCAGAGGGCTCAGTTAGTTCTATTTAAACTTATCTGACAGAGTCTTGATATTTTAGCAGATTTATGAGGTTTCGCCAAATTCCATGCCTCTCTCTATACTTTTTAAATTAAGACAGAGGATTCCATACATTCCGAGTCTGCCACATTGTCCCTTTTATCACCATAGGGAATGCTGCACAAATTAGACTGTTCATATTAACCACTGGAATGGGCATCCTATGTCATAGATTCCTTGCCCTTGAGTGGCAGATCAACTTTTTTTTGTCTCGGTAACAATTGCTTTATTTCCTTCCAAATAACATGAGCAGAGGTTGGTATAAGCTACATTTGGGTTGCACTTCTAGGTGAGCCAAAAGTGTAGAAAAACCTGCCAAAGAGCTGCATGAATATAATTAAAACTTTGTTTCTCAAGGAAGACAGCAGTAGATGCCAGCAGATCACAGAAGCATCCACACGCACACTTCTCCCTGATGACTAAGACTTGTGCTTTCACCTAGAAACTGTACTTAGACTGACCTTGGGGCACATGCCTTTCCATGATGTCATTTCCATCCTGTACCGTCAGGAAACCGCGTGGACCAGGAATTGCATTTCTTTACCTAAACACCAGTTGCTTTGCCAGGTGTTCTCTGACTTTAGAAATGGGTGGAAAAAATAGGGCATCACTCTAAGGGATTTTCAACTCATTTGCCTAAGATGTGATATTTTTGGTCTGTCTTTTTTAAAAAAATATTTCAGTGATGTAAGCTTCATCATGAAGAAGTGCGGCTGCTACCAAATGTTGGGTTCGTCTGGGAGACCTGATTCACCAGAATCCTGGGTATATAACACACCGACTTGGAAGTGCATCAGTTCAGGCACATGAGCTCTTCTTGGTACTTCGAGGTTTATCACACTTAGCTCTTCCTTTCCTGCCCTGAGGTCCATTCCCCAAGGACCTTTCCTTCTTCCCAGGTGCAGGCTGGCTTTCTGTGACCTTGGAGCAGCTCTTGAGCCCCAGGCACTCACCTCTGTACCCCACTCACTGTTCAAGGTAACAAGGAGGATGCAGGGCCCTTTTTCCCCTCTCCCCAGTATTTTCTCCTACCATGGTCTCCTTCCTTCTCTCTTGTTGTCCCTCCTCCTGTCCCTCTATCCCCCATCTTCAGGCGGCAAAACTCCTGTGCCCTGCCTGGAACTACTGGTGGGCCCAGCAAGAGGTGACGTGGGCATCTCAGAGGCAGTGTGGGCTGACAGAGCAGAGCACGGAGCTGGCATCAGGAGGCCACACTTCCTGCTTCTAGCTGTGCTCGTGTCTGTGCTATTTGGGACGCTGCCACTCCTCTCTTGAGTTTCCTTGTGTCTAAAGCAAGAGGGTGGAAAGAGATGCTACCCAAAGCCCCCTCCTCCTCTCAGAGCTTCACTAACTCTCATACTGTCCCGGGCCGGCTTCTCTAGCACATCGGTTAGAAACTAACAGTTTGGGGTTGGGAGATGAAGGTTGAGATGTTCTCAGGTGTCCTAGAATATGCACGATCTCCTGTGACATTTGGTAGTTCTGTCTTCCCTGTTGGTTTCTGCAGCCCGTGTGACCACGGCAACTGAGGATGATGTCTGTGTGTGTTTTCTAGATATTTGCAGATATTTGAACAGGCATCATCAAAGAAGTTTCACTGAACAGCACACGTGCTCAGTTCATGTATACCGAAACTGTTTCATGATTTTTTTTTCAGGAGATTGAGGTTTATTTAATGTCACATATCGAGGGCACCATGTGGGTGTGACAGTGGTATGCGGGATTTTTGTATGTCTTCTGTGAGAGAACTCACTCAAGGTGGCCGTGGATACTTGCCTACGGTCAGCATGCAGTTTGCTCGGGTGAGCTACTCACTTTGCAAATTATCTGCAATAAATTGAAAAATTTAACTCAACCTCTTGAAAGTTTGTTGGAGGCAAAAAACCAACCAACCAAACAAACAACAACAACAACAAAAAAAACACAGACCTAAGCCAAATATGATATTTTTTAAAATTATATTTGTATGCACACTGTTGCATCCATCCCTACGTTGTCAGAGTAATTGAGACCCGAGGACAAATACTGTGTTCTAATCTGTGAGGATGCTCTCTGCACGGAATGCACAGCCACGCAGATGGTTGAGCCAAGATCAGATACCCCTGGGAAAACAGCAACAGTGAGACTTTGGAGATGGCAGAGTCCAGGAAGAGCAGGGGAGAGAGGAGAAGCGACACGCTGCCATCCCACAGCTAGTTAGAAGCAGTGGGACTGGGACTAGAGAGCCAGGGTCTCCTGACCCTTGGGCCAGGCCTCTTCCTGTGGCATCAAGGAATGAGCAGATTCACAGAAAAACTCCACTACCCTGTCCCTCCGCCACCACGAGAGCACACAGGGGCGGCGAGGCTGCGGTGGCCCCGGGCGCTGTGCTGCTGAGCTGCCCTGTGGGATCTCTCGTGGCCTGTTAACCACTCCTGTTGCTGAGGGTCCAGTAAGACGGGGAGAGCCGGCTTCTCTGTGACTCATTTTTTCCATCTGCCTAGCAGAGGTCAAGGCTATTACAGATTTAAGCTTTTCCTACCACTGCAGACCTGTGAAGGGGCTTGGGAAGAGGAACACAGGGTAAGACAGCTGTTTTTAGGGGTTGGCTTTCACTGAGATTTCACTACTATTTGAACCATAGCAAATATTTCATAAGTTACTTATTTGGCCCCATTCGGCTTCTGTCTTCATACTTACCTGTTCCTTACTCGTTGTTAGATCTATTTGCCAATTATTCTCTTGGGTCCCGTGGTCACTATTAATGGGAGAGTCCATTAACCCTCGGCTCCACCCATCACCCCCCTGTGACTGCAGGTCTCACCTAAGTGCCAGCCTCACGTCCAAGCAAGCTCGGTGAGTCTCAGCCTCATGGGTCTCTGTCCTTCCCAGCCCCAGCCTCAGCACTGTGGGGTAGTCTGTGACAGTTCCCTGTCCTGGGGCTGCCAGGCCAGATCTCACATGTCTAGTTATCCTTTGCAGCATCTTCCAGAGTCATCCCTCCCCTCTGTCACAGAGAAGGGCACCAGGCTTGATCCCTTAAGGGCAAGTTCCGATCCCTACTCTGCCCGGAACCAGCATGTAACCTTGGGCAGGTCACTTTTATCTCTCTTAGCCTAATGTCCTCTTCCAGCAAAAGAGAAGGTATATTAGGTGATCCTATAGACCCTTCCAGCATCCACACTGTGCAGTGTGTGACTGGCCATCACCAACCCTGCAATCCTAAATATGCTTGAGGATGAACCCTCCTGGCTCGGCACCACCTGTTTTTCTCCTTCAGCCTCTGCCAAATTAACCTTCTTGGAGCCCCACATCCTACTCTGGATTACTTTCCAGCTCTAACTCCCTCTCTGTTTTGGAATAGGATGATCACAGAACCTATCATCCAAACTTGGACTTTTCTGAGAGTAAAAGGGGACACCATTAAACATTAAGTTTGGATGATAGGCATAAGCCATGACTGTCCCAGGCAAATCAGGGTGTCTGGTCAGCCTATTTTTGAATCAAGTCCAAAATCCCTCTCTCAATTAAATGGCTCCACCTTGCTTATCAAGCTTCACTCTCTGTGCCTGGCCCAGACCCTGCCTGGCCCTGGTCCTACCGTGACTGTCTTTTAGAAATTATACCCTCTTTTCAGCATGGAAATTGGCAAGAAGACAGATCTCTTGGTGCAATCCATAATTGGACCATCATTTTCTAAATTGAATATAAATGAACACATCTCCTCATTTTGTTCTCCAGGGAGTTTCCTACCACCTGGCAGCAGCCACTTCCAATCTGGGTGGAAGACAGCCGGCTTAGCAGAGGTCCTCATTGGGACTAAAACTTCTCTGAGGCCATCATCTGCAGGGCCTCTGAGGCCTCCCTCGGATAAGCTGGAAAAGCCAGTGAGATACCGGGGGCAAGTGGCCCTTCAGGGTAAATGCTCCCCCTGTCAGGAGACAAGAGCTAGTGTTGAGGGAACTGTACTGATCTGTTATACCTGGAGCAGGACGGTCGAGCGAGTGTTGGCTTGGAGCAAGGCTTCCACACTCCAGTGATGCCGAGGGAGTGCCCAGAACATTCTCTGTGCTGCAGACCCTGACATGGCCCAGGTCGACCACCTGCCTATGGCCTCTGCCTGGAGGCACCATGGGAGGGTCCAGGCAGGCCTTTCTGTAGGTGGCATCTGGTATCATACCACATGAACTGTAGAAAACAGTAACAAAAACCAAGCTGCCTATACAAAAATAAGGAAATAAATAAATCGGCAGCCAGCAGGGCTTGTTTACTGCACTGCCTTGAATCTCTCCTCCCCAAATTGCAGACCCTTGTCAGTGCTGTTCTCTGTGGAGTGCTGAGGGGAAGACTGTCTGCTGGTGAGACGGGTGATGTTCTGGTCTAACGAGATGCATGGAGCAGTTTTCATAACTGCTGTCTACCCTGCAGTGCAGGCAGGGGCCCAGAAGGTGGGTGAGCCGTGGCCAGATGCTGAGGCTCAGGTTGAGCAACCTCAGAGATGATTGCCCGGGAAGGCTCCACTGAGGGCAGTATGCGGGGCCAAAGGCTGCCCGAAGCTTCCTTAGCCTTTCCTACTGCCCACAGGTACTCCTGTCGCCCCTAAGCACACAGAGGAGCCTGGGCGGCTGTGGAGGATGAACACCAGGCCTCCCTCCCACACATCTCCTCGCCACTGTGGTCTGGCCAGATGCAGCCCTTCCTCTGTCTAATGATGTTCTGAGAGA